TCACGTCATCGTCGTTCTCATCACCAGAAGACCAACGATCATGCAGCCGTCCCTGCCAAGTAAATTGGCAGCATACTAGCCTCGGGACTTCATAATCCGTATTACCATCAGAGAATTCAGAAGAGCATTTCACGAGTGTACGTATACTTTCGATATATTTTCGTCAAGCCAATACATTTATATGGACATACACCATTCAAATAGAACTCCAGAAAATCCAGAACCTGCTTAGAGAGAACGGATATCCGGACCGATTCATCGTAAAGAATATAATGGCGAGAGAAAAGAAATCCACCACACACATTGTGGAACTAAAGACCCTATTCCTTAACGTCCCCTTTCAAGAGGATGCGGCAAGCGAACTCCTAACCAGACGCCTCAACCAAGGTGTATCCCGAACCTTTCCAACAGCAAAAGTTCGGGTGTTATTCTCCACCAACCTGGTCCTGCACGGCGAAGGTAAGGATAGGCTGCCAGTTGAAAACACTTCTGTGTGCATCTACTCATCTACTTTCTCCTGTGGAGGAGGTTATATCGGTCGCACGAGTCGGTGCTTATCCAAAAGGATACGAAAGCACCTCCCGGTATGGCTGAGCAGAGGTGAAGCCAGAAACGTCAACAGCGCCATCCTTGCCCACATGGTTGTGTCTGGACATCGTGTGCACCCCAACGAAACCTTTAAGGTAATGTATAAGGTCCCGCCAAACTACCCAAAGTCCCTGGGTCATCGCCTGCTAGCAACAGCAGAAGTGACTGCCATCAGGCTGCTGAAGGCGGCGTTGTGTGCACAAAGGAACTTCGTGCAAGCTCCGCAGTTGGCGTGGCCTACAGTCACTTAGCGGCATGCACTCAATCGCGTTCTGTTTGTCTTCCGCCTCCTCCCTTAGACGGGCTCCACCAAGCCCTCCCCGCGTAACCACTCCTCTCTTATCGACCCCTTCCCAGATTCCAATGAGTAGTTTGTAATAAAAGATGATAATTATGGATCGCTTGCTTAACTTATACCCCTGCCCATATAAATGTATTGGCCTGGCGAGAATTTATCGAAAGTATACGTATATTCGCCAAATGCTCTTATGAATCCGTATTACCTTTGACGATAAATACTCGCCAAACTGTCAATTTTATCAGGCCTTGTTATTCCTTGGGAAACGAAATTTGGTGCTTGTTCCTTTCATCACTTTGGTTCATTACAAAATTGGTGGCAATGGTAGAATCGACCACAGCTGACAATATATTAGCCAGATCAGTGCATGCGATGCAATGGGTAATCTCGTCCGGAGGCCAAACACCTGTTCCAGATAAACTGCTTGCCTTCAACGATTACGAGCTGTTTGAGCATCGTATGCACATTTACATGGAAACGTTAGACGAAGCGGCTCGTCCACTTGCCATCATGACTATCTTGACGATGAGGCGTATACGGTGGCTAGGGCAGCCAATACCAGTACCACCGCCCCATCCGCAACCTCGACTATCCGTGAGTAGGTGAATGACGACTGAGGTGACCTCGAAAATATTGAACACACATGGGATTGGGGGGGATAGAGGGTGCTGAGTAGATTGTGCTCTTCCGATGGCAAAATGTTTTTGAATGGACACAAACGGCATATATCATAGGCCACCAATACAAACTTAAGCCAAACTACACCAAACTACGAGTGCGGCCTAACTTCTTTTCCCATCAGGTGTTTTTAGATCTCGTGTTAGCCACTGATTCTGGTGTGATAGCCTTGGCTTTGAGTACGGAAAATGGTAGTTGGTTGCCTGTTTGTGAAATCTCCCACATATAAGGAGCTTTTTTTACTAGGGAAGGTAATTAGATCGGTGAGTCCATTCCTGAGCGAAAACATAACCAGTCTGTAGCAACAGTGAATGACAGGTAGCGAGGCACTGATTAAATTCAGTTCGATGAAGTGCTTCTGACAAGCTGGTAGACCCTAGTGGCGGACGGTCTGCGCTATGTGTGTGCACATTGTTACTTCACATTCCAGCTGGTAGTCAGGGTTGTGCATGACTGAATGAAGGCATAATAAGCACGAAACAGACCTTATCAATCTACCCGCATTTCCCTTCGTCCCTCCTCTCTGCCGATTTCGACCTGGTAATTGGTTACCTATTCGGGAACTCTGCAGCCATACGAAGTTTGTTTGCTTCGGGAATCTAATAAATCGATGTGTTCCTATTCCTTTTTGAATAAATACATCAACTGCAATCAAAGAAATTTACATGTGGCGAGGCACTGGTGGACTTAATTCAGTATTCAGCATAATTCAGTATATATAAGAGAGATAGACAGAGCCCCTGGAAACCCCATTTACCGATAGATTCTGTCAAATCATGCATACGTTTCGGTCCGATGAAGTACTCATGGCAGATCTACTAGACCCACTGTATGGACTATCGGCGTCGTACTCACGCGCCTGTTTGTACGCGATGATGAATACAAAATGGTAAGTGGAGGTTTCGTTCACCAATCTTGTCCGCTTAAAGAGCGGGCAGCCTACGAAACCACAAATCACCGGGCTCTTGGTTCAGGTCTTTGTTAAACACGGGCTGGAAATGCCAGCAGATGTGACAAATACAAATGAGATGAGAAAGGATCGAGAGACAGAAAGACTAAAAACTGCAAAGTGAACGGCATTTAGTAAGAAATAAACTAAGCGTGCTTCTCGTTGAAAATGCGCGGAGACAGTTTATACTGGCTGCTGGTACCTCGTGGAGGAAGGTAGCATCCGCTTAAGAATTCCTCAATGTTTCGACGCACTCCGAGGTTGTAGAATGTCCGGGTAGACGGTTCCCCAGCGTTGTATTCACCCCGACAGTAACGCTCATACGTGGTCTGGTTTGTCACAATCAGAAAGACGTGAAAGAGAAAGTAGCCCAGAAGCAGCAGATTCAGTACGAGGAGGGTGGAGCAACAACAGACGATCATCGGATGGGTTAACAGCAGATGCTAAAACCAGAATGTCATTAAAGGTATGCAAAGGAGGAAGCTAACTTGAATTAGTGCAGACAGACTCATTGGGTGCTGGTGACCCACTTCGTCAAAATATCTCGCTTTCCAAAGTTCTGTAGCCTGAAATCAACAAAGAACAGCTCAGAATCAAACCATTAGCGCTACTAATTTCCTAATAAGTAGATCTTATTTTGGACAAAACTATGGCACACACATTACCTAATTGGGCTCATATATAACCGCAGGTAGACATAAATCAACATGATGGAATGGATCTGAGAAAGCATAATAAATCGGTGTTGTACTGCTGCGAAACACGGTTATTTATAGTCTAATGAAGGCGTAGCCAAGGGCTGCGGCTCAGCAACAGTACGATAAAGCAGAATGGATGAGCGATTTCAACTCACTTGGACGTGCAAACGAAGTGCCCGGACACAGAGGTAGCTCGCATTGCAGATCATGGCAAGAAGAGAGAGAAGATAGCCAAGAAAGGTCAAGTGGTTACCAGAACCGATACAGGAATTGGTCCAGACGCAATGGTGATCAAACCGATGCACACAGTGGTCACATCGATCTAAGCGGAAACAAGGTAGTAGCAAGGGCTACAGGCATGCAAATTGGCGGAAACAAAGACATGAAGTGATTAATGTGCCCAAAAAGAGGCAGTATACGACTCAAAAGCTCCCAGCTGTTTCGTTTGGGAACCTAGCGCGGAAGCTCAACCACTTTCATCTCAGCTGCCTCCACCGCATACTCAAGGTGAAATGGCAGGAGAGGATCCCGGAAACGGAAGTCCTAGAGAGAACGGAAGTTCTCAGCATCCAGGACATGTGCAGGCAGATACGACTGCGCTGGAGCGGTCACGTGGTACGGATGGACGATCTACGACTACCCAAGCGACTTTTCTACGGAGATGTCGCTGTCGCTGCTCATCGCAAAGGAGGACAAAAGAGGCGCTACATGGACACTTTGAAGAACTCCCTGAAGCGTCTCCGAATCAACACGGAAACCTGGGAGGAGCAAGCGCAGGACCGATATGTGTGGCCAAAAAACGATAAAAAACTGGCGCAGCAATCTACGAAGCCAATCGGATTGCCGCCGCCAAGGCAGAACGGACGGCTCGCAAGTCTCACCATCAACGGACGCACACTGTCACCGCCTAAGCCCTTCCAACCTGTCCGCGCTGCCAACACACCTTCCATGCACGCATT